CTACACACACGTACACCACCTATATTATGTACTACTACTATATAGTNTACTAATATATATATATATATATATATATATATATATATAATCAATGACAGAAGTGATAGCACCATCAACTGTTATAAGTACAAAATTCAAAAATTAAAAAGAAAAAAAAGTGTGGACGTGGTGTAACAACCATGGGTAAAATCACCTCCAAAAGAAATAATCTAATGGGGTTGTGTGAAAACAATACATACCCTAAGGGCTCGAGGGCTTAGGCGAAAAACCGAAAGGGCATTCAAGTCAAATGAAAAGTGCACACACTCTCATAAGGGGAATCTCTGAGCCCCTCCAACTCCCCTTTACAAGGCGAAGGCAAGCTATGCAAAGATAGTCTAAAGAGGAAGGAGACATACAAACTATGCAAGCAAAGGAGATAAAAGCAAGATAGAGGCAAAAAGGAGCATTCGTTCCATGAGTAAAGAGATCACAAGGTATGGCCCATGGCCTAGAGCTACAAAAAGGAGAGGAAGAGAAAGCTCATTGCAAAGCAAAAGAGGATTACTAATCCCATGACAAAATTTGAAGTTACAAGTTCCAGGCTTGCAACCTCAAGTTACATGAGAAAAGAAAGGAAACAAATTCCTCTTCAAACGCCAAGGACTACATGTCATAGCTCAAGGCCTTACATAGCACAGAAAGAGGGAAACTAAGCCAAAACACCCTCAAAGATCTCGAAGGGCCTCACAAAACATCGCCATCTGCGACTTCTTACAGCATGCCTGTATACGCTCCTCAACTTTAACCACTTCTAGGCTAAGCCGGCCAGTGATTACCTGCAACTCATCCACAAGGGCACCAAGCATGCATGCTCAACTTCATGTGCTGGAGCCGGTTCTCTTCATACCATTGGGCCAGTTCTGCCCATTCCTCACCTCTTGGCAAATTCTGCCCATTTGTCACCATGGCGTTGAGGTGACGCAGCCATGTTCTCCATCAACAGCCTTAGCTCGGCCGTGCGATTCTTAGTACAAGCCGTGAAGTCAGAAATGCGAGCCAAAGTGACTTTGTCCTTGCTAGCCTACTCAGATTTTAAGCCGCGAAGTTGAGCAAGTTCTTTCTTCAAAAGAGACAACGTGACATCGCGTAGCTCTCTCCGTTTAAACTCAACATCACCTAAGAACACAAAAGAAAGAAAGTTCATTACACTATGGACTTGAAGAAGGAGTTACCGATTTTTTAAAAATCTTGGCAGCGTCTCCCCTAAAAATGGAGATCTGACGACATGCATAGCCCAAAACACCCCGGAGGATTCAGAGGTAGCTATACTGGAGGAGCATGTCCATCCAGGATGCGCCCTAGAAGAGCCCCCCTTCTATCTTGATGCATGCAAGAACATGAGATGGCATGAAAAATGTGTGCAAAAAATGGAACGCCATGAAGGATGCATGCAAAACTGCATAAGGGCACGGAGGGTGTGTGCCAATTTGTGCGGTTGCATGGCAATGTTAGTGCAAAGCACGCAGCATCACGCTCGGGACAGCGTAGCAATGTGCGTGCAAGTGCTCGAGGCAGCATAGCAAAGGCATGGGACATCATAGAATTTATGCGTGCAAGGCTTGGGGCAGCATGGCAATGTGCAAATGCATGGGGGCAGCAAAGCGTGCAAGGTACGGGGCAGTATAACAAAGCAGGAGACAACATAGCAAATATGCGTGCAAGGCTCGAGGCAGCATAGCAAGTGGCATGCAAAGCTCAGCGTAGCATAGCAAGTGCGTGCAAAGCACGGGGCAGCATCACAAGATGCGTGCAAATGCTAGGGGCAGCATAGGATGTGCGTGCAAAAAACGAGGCGGCATGGCAATGTGCGTGCAAAGGCACGGGGCAGCTTAGCATGTGCGTGCAAAACACGAGGCGGCATTGCAATGTGCGTGCAAAGGCACGGGGCAGCATAGCAGAGTCAATAAAAAGGTGCGTGCAAAGCATGTATGGCATAGATGGTGCGTGCAAGAACATGGAAGGTGCGTGCAAAGCATGTACGACATAGATGGTGCGTGCGAGAGCATGTATGACATGGAAGGGCATCTAAGGCCATAAACAAAGCAAGAGAAGCATGTAAGAGGAATAAAAGAAAGAAGAAAGATCGAGCTTACCTCCCTCGGAAGCTCCGGACAAGCTCGTCTTCGGATCCATGCTTCGAGCCCCTAAGATCCGAGGCCTTCCCTCACTTCAAAGCCCCAAATGCTCCAAGCTCTCCTTTCTCTCATGAGGAGCATTAACCACTTTCTCAATCTAAAATGTCAAAAATGAGGAGGAATGGTGAGAAATGAGGCCCCTCTCCTTTTTTTTATATTAAGGTGAAATGGTGGATTTACCCCATAAGCCCTTACATGTCCCCAATCCCAAAGAAGCCCACTCTTGCAAGAATGGCCATTTTGGAAGAATATGAGGGGCAAGAGTGTACAATGGCAAGGGCAAAAAGACACCCTCTAGCCTCACCCATGCTTAAGCGGTAAAATCCCCTAGGGGTATAATGGTCCGAGACCCATCAAATGGTCTCGGAATCGCATTGGACCGGGCCCATTACGAAGACAAGGTCTGGCCTAATCAAAAATGGCTAGACCCACCTCGAAAGGAGGCCTAAGGCCCAGCCCTTCAAAGCCCAAAAAGGGGGACGGACCCCATTTTCTTCTCTCTCTCCCTCATCACGTCTCTCTCTCTTTCACTCGGGCCAAGCGGCCCCTCTCTTCCCTTAGCTCTCGCATCTCTCTCTCGGGCCAGGCAGCCTAGCTGCTGGCCTGATGCTTTCTCTCCCTCTCTTCCCTTTGCTTTCGCATGTCTCTCTCTTTCTTGAGCCAGGCAGCCTAGCCGCTGGCCCGATGCTTTCTCACCTCTCTCTCTCATCTAACCTACTCTCTAACGTTACCTTGTGCCATGGCTAGCCGTGGGCACACTCTCTTCTTACCTCATCGCTTCCCCACCTTCATATCCTACATGATGCCCATGGCTTGACCATGGACACACTACCCACTCTCGTTTTGACCTCTTTCACCTCTCTACCCACCACTAAACTTCGCACCCATGCTTGACCATGGGCATGCCTCACCTCATTTCATCTCATCTACAACCCATGGCTCACTGATGGGCACACACTTATACTTACACTCTTTAAAGCCTATGAATTAACCATGGTGCACACCAGGCACTACTTTCATACTCTCACATCTCATTCCAAAGACTCGTGGCTTGACCATGGGCGCACCGATGCACATTTCCTCAACTTTGTCTTGTTTATATTTCACAAAACCCATAGTCCAACGGTGGCCCACACCTTCTTCCCCCTGGCTTTCATCTCTTTCTCCCTCTTCTTTCACTCACTTGCACACACGATCGAGCCCATGGCTCGAACCATGTTACTTGGATGGTTCGCTCATCATCCCTAGTGATTCATCAACCGCCCTTGAGCTTCACATCCACCACTGTACCTATGCCTTTGTGCATCATGGCCTTCATTTCAGAGAACCCACCTCCTTATCACCGCCACCTAGCATCATTCATTTCAGAGAACCCACCTCCTTATCACCACCACCTAGCATCATTCAAAAATACAAATGAGCGCTCCACCCAAACACTTGTTCCACTGATGAGTCACCATTCATAACCACCGCCATTTCTAAACCAACACCATCATTCAGCATCCCTTATGGATTGCCTCACATACCCTATGGGAGAAACCATTTTCCCAGGGAGTTCCACCCACTTCATTGTACAAGCTCATCATCCTGATGAACCCTTTTCATGCTCGTTCCATGAGGAAAACCACCATCACTAGGGAGTTTTGCTTATCCCATGGACCAAACCCATACCCCAATGAGACCCACTCACCCCTGGGAGAGTCTTGTACACCCCATGGAGCAAACTACCATCTCCAAAGAGCACTCATATGGCTCAAGGCGCAGACCGTCATCCTTAGGGAGTTTCACTCATTTCTTGAGGTAAACCACTACCCCCGTTTTAAAATTTAACCATACCTCAGTGAGCTTCATCCATCTCACGAAGCTATCTTCATATCAGGTGGACCTACCACGAGGTAAACCATGACCCCCAAGTGGCTATTTTACCTCTTTGAGCACCATTCAAAACCAGGAGTAAGCACTCCATCTAAGCCAATACCATCCCCAGTGACCTCGTCACATGCACCACCCAAACGTTTGGATGGTCGCCCAGATAGAAAGATTCATCATGGGTGAGTTCATCGTTGACCCCCATCATTAACCCTCAGATATACCCCCAAGGGTAATTGACCACCTCAATCCCCATAGGAGCCATCTACCCCCCCGATGGCCACCTCTACTGGACCATCCCATACTCCCAAGACGACTCATGCTTTCCCCTTGGCATGGATGCCCCATAAATCCTACCACTCCTCAATCAAACCATCAACCCATTACAAAAACCCCAGTCGGGTCATTAAATCATTTCAAGTAGCTCGAGGGACCTCGAGCTACGTTATACCACTATAATGACTCTGAGTCTTCTTGGTCACCATTCCAAACCATTTTTACCCTCCACAAAGTTTCACCTAAAACTCCCACTCTCCCCAAGTGAGTCTAATCACCCACTATGGAGCTTTCACAACCATTATCATAATAAGGGGAACTTCCCCTTATGCAACCACCATCATGCTGTTAAAAAAAAAAAAAGAGAAAAAGAATATAAAAGGTGCACATAGCCATAAAGATATGGGTAAAAGAGCTCAAAAAAATGGGCATGGTGAAAACCCGAAAGGGCGCCATGCGTAAAATTTAAAAATGACGGACGTGGCCATGAGTAAAAGCATTAAAAAATAAATAAAAAGGAAGTTGGTGAAAACCGCTTTGCGGTGCCACATCCACGCAGTTAAGATGAAAACCCGAAAGGGTGCTTAGAGCAATAGGCAGGTTGATGCAGTGCTCACCTCCATAGGTGGCGTCAGCCAGCTCCTTCATGCAAAAGTTTGGCAGTATGGGAGTCAATGCCCCTTCACAAGGCTACCCTACTATTGGAACAAAAAATAGTTAAGAAAAATGCTTCAACAACAGGGTTAGCCTCCAAAGGGCTCCTGAAAGTCAGAAAAATCACAAGGATGGCACGTTGGATCAGTTACATGCCGAAGAAATTCCCAACCATGAAGTCAATCAAAAACAGCAAATCAAGGCGATAGGGTGGATCTCGCCCCAAATAGGCTTTATCAGTTGTCAAGTTAGATCAATGCGTCAGTAGATTGTGTAACCACTTTAATAAGGCTCCCCTCTGCTATGTATGTCTCAACATTTGGGGAGGAAGCTCCCATTGGCCCCGACTAGGCACTAACGGACTGAGGACATGCTCTAAAGAAGCCTCCAATTATCGACAATCCCTCATCATGTCATGGCAATTCATATAGGTACATAAAGGTCCTCCACTGTCTTTCAAAAGAAAAATGGCTCCTGAAGTGGGTTACAAGCCCTTAAGCAAGACCCCCACCAGAAGGCGAAAGATAGAAGCCAATGATTTGGGTCACAAGCCCTTAAGCAAGGCCCCCAAACATTAGATTTCCTCACAAAACCTGACTGATTGAGAAGAAAGCCCTTAAGTAAGGCCCTTAAGCAAGGCCCCCAGTTTGACAAGACTGTGTCACTAGCCCTTAAACAAGGCCCCTAGTAGTTGGAACTAAAACTCAGCCACTGACATGGGAAGGAAGCCCTTAAGCAGAGCCCCTATCAGCGGGTCAAGTCTCTTCTCCCGGAAAGTCCTATTGGTATTGAATCTACAAGCCCTTTAAAAGGCCTTCAGTCATTAGTGCACTTTGGTCATCCCCTAGGGAAGCAGCTTTACATGATTTCCTCTAATATTGGTGCCGGTGATGAGGAAGAAAACAAAAAATTGAGGGACTAGTTTTGTTCTGAATGTTATACTTCTTACTTCTCTCGAAGCGCAAAATTTTGTGAGGCAAATTGTTGTAGGGAATTTTTTACAATCTTGTATCCCCGGTGTGAAGAATGGAGAAGCCAGCGGTAACCTAGACTCACACGTACCAAAAATGCATGTAGACTACATAGATCCTGACCAAACAAGCCTTATTTTGGAAAGGCATGATAGAGAAACCATTTCACTCCCAGATTGAGCATGTGGGTTCCCCATGAGGATCTAAGGATCTCCTCCAAGTTTCGGTCAATTCGGATGTAAATGGAAGAAACAGGAACAACGTTTGTTTTTAGCTTGAGCTCCTATCATGTTACCGCCCACCATAGCAAGAGTTCCACTCTATAGACCTCTAATGACTATGGAACCACTGGAAATGGCCAAAAATAGACATCATGCCAAGTTTCATCCCAATCTGAACTTCTTAGGTCATACTTACTAAAAAAGGAAAGTTTCTAGTAAGATACGTTACACCATGACTGGAACTCTACTCTAGACACCTCCAATGGTTGTGGGACCATTGCCATTAGATTTGGGAGGCCGAGAACAACTTCTTTGCTAAATTTCATCTTATTCCCAACTTTCTAGGTCGTACTTTCCACAAATAGTAAATGTTTTACTATTAACTTCATCTTCTTCAACCAGTTACTATATATAGTAACCGCATTTTTCTAAAAACGGGAAACTTTGAAAGCCCCGATCTCCCTTTTCTTGAATCGGATCGACCCCAAATTTGTATATGTTGTTCTCTCGTCGAACCCTTCAATTTGGAGGGTAGCACATACCATGAAACCTTATGGTTTGGGAGAAATCTTAGAGATAAGATCACATAAATCAATAAAAATGTAGAATTTTACACCCGCGTATCTTTGCACTCCACGGCTTATAACTTGATATTCCAGACTCCTATCGCCTCAAGGCTGGGTCCGTTGCGACTGTAGCTCAGAAAGCTTCAATTTGAGTACTTACTCGCTCAAAATGGAAATACGAAAGGAGTTCTATTATAGCATAAAGAGAAAGACATTTTTCGGTGGCCAAAATCCCATTTTCCGACCACCTCCATAATTAAGAAAGTGATAATTCGGCATCGAAATGAAGATATTTTACAGAAAAATGATGGGGGCAAACTTCTTATTGATTTATGATGAAGAAAGTGATCCAAAATGGTGAAGAACGAGTAAGATCAAGAGTTCAAGATTGCAAGTTTTTGGGCTTGACCGGATTTTGAGAACACACTTAAAACTCCACACCAACCCCAATAATGCAAACCAAAACGATGCCCATGGCGTGATGGTCATTATTCCGGTGATTGATCGCCCAAAAGCTCGTCGGAAGACTCCCAAAAGAGCCCTAAACCACAAGCCAACCATGAGGCCCCTTTTTGGGGACTATTTAATCATTTAGGTGAAAGTTTCAAGGGGAAAAAATGACATTTTTTGCCAAAAACGAATTTCACTTTTATTACAAAATTATGTATTTTCTAGCAATTAGGTTTACTTTTAATCATCCACCCATGTTTGGGGCACTTTTTATTTAAGAACTTTTCATTTTATTTGTAACTTGAAGGTGAAAGAGGGTAAATAATTATTAAGAAGAGCTTTGTGCTATGATTTTTCTTTGAGTTTGTGCTTTCTTTTTTTGCTCTAAGAGAGAGGAGAGAGAAAACTTTACCCAAAGGAGAATACCCATTGGACTATCCTAACCCAAGCCTATACCATAGTCCACACTTCCCTAATTCTAGTCCATAAACAACCCAAACCATACTCCATACCCGCTACCACCTATCCTTTCCTAAACCATACTCCATACCCCCTACCACCTATCATTTCCTAAATCATACTCCATACTACCCAAACACCATAACCTACCCAACCCAACCTAGCCATACACCTTAGTCTACCTAACCCAAGCTAGCCTACCCAACCCAACATAGTTTACTTAACCTAACTTAGTCATACATCCTAGTCTACCCAACCCAATCTAGCCTTCACAACCCAACCTAGCCTACCCAACCTAAACTAGTCATGCACCCTAGTCTACTTGACCCAACCTAGCCATAAGCCCTAGCCATACACTCTAGTCTTTGCCTACACAACCCAACTTGGCATACACCCTAACCCACCTAGTCCTCACCCAAGGGCCCAAGCCCTCCTTCCAAGGATCTTCACCTTCAAAGGACCCAGGCAAAGCACACACAACCGGTGGGTTCGAGTCCTCACCTCGCCCATTTAGGTAACTGGTCCCTCTCTCTTCTTTCTTCTTTTCTCTCTCTTCTTTCTTCTTCTCTCTCTCTTATTTCTTCTTCTCTCTCTTCTTTCTCTCTTCTCTCTTCTTCTTCCTTCTCTTGCCTCTCTCTCCTCTTCTCATACTCTCACGTCTCTCTTCCTCATGTCGGGACAACAGGGTAGCCGCCACCCCAATCTATTCTTGCCCTCCATTTCACCCTCCACTCTCCCATCTCTCACGCACCACAAAGGGCAGCGGGCTAGCCACTGTCCTGCTCTCATCTAACCCCCCTTTCTCCACTCTTCTCTCTTCCATTTCTCTCACATCCAAAAAGGCAGCAGACTAGCCGCTACCCTACTGCCTTTCGTCCCTCTTTCTCTCTTCTTTCACTCTATTCTCTCCCACCTCTCTCACACGTGAAGTCAGGACAGCAGGGTACCTGCTGCCCCACTGCCTTTCACCCCTCTTTCTCTCCTCTTTTACCTCCCTTTCTCTCTAATCTCTCTCACGTTCCAAAGCGGAGCAGCCTAGCCGCTGCCCCACGGCCTTTCACCCCTCTTTCTCTCTTCTTTCACCCCCATTTTCTCTCATCCCTCTCATACTTCTAAAGGGCGTGAGCTAGCTGCTGCCCCACAGCCTTTTCACCCCTCTTCCATTTTTCTCTACTCTCATCGCTCTCACATTTCAAGTGGGGATAGCAGGCTAGCTGCTGCCCCGTTGCGTTCTCACTCTCTCTTCCACCTCTCTTGCCTCATCTACTCTCTTCTCATCCACTCCCTCACTCACACACCCACTCTTCACTTACTCACATTCTCATCTTCTCTTCTACTCTTCTTCTCTACTTGTTTATATCCCCTCTCTTTCCTAAGATCATCCGAGTTGTTAGTCTCCACTTCGAGGAGTGTGTGACAACAGTTTAGGATGTGAGAGGTTTATCCTCTCTTCTTCTCCTCTTCTTCTCTAATTATTTACATCCCCTGTTTCATCTCTCATCTCTCTCTTAAGATCGTCCAAGCTGTTAGTCTCCATTTTGAGGAGCATTCGACAATGGTCTAGGTTGTGAGAGTTTTCTTCTCTCTTCTTTCTTTCTTCTTCTCTACTTCTTTATACCCCCTATTCTCACTTCTTCTCTCTCCTAAGATCGTTTGAGTTGTTAGCCTCAACTTCAAGGAACGTGTGACACCTGTCTCGAACGTGAGAGGTTTCTTCTCTCCTGTTCCTCTCTTCTTCTCTACTTCTTTACACCGCTTTTTTTCACTTCCCCTCTCTCTCCAAAGATCGCCCGAGCTATTAGCCTCCACTTTGAGGAGAGTACGACACTGGTCCAGGATGTTAGAGGTTTCTCCTCTACTCCTCTTCTTTTCTTTTCTTCTTCTCTCTACCTTCCTTGCCTATCATCTCTCTTTTCGTTTTTTATTGATTGTTAAGAGGCTCTTTTGAGATTCATTTTGGTTAAATTTACCTGGCCAGTATACTTTCTCATGAATCCTCCGAGGTATCGAGGCCTTTAGCTTGATATATTCTTTGTCTTCCAGTAAATACCTTCTTGGGGAGATTACACCGAAAGGTTGCCCAATTCCTGAGTGATTCTCTCTCCTCTCTTTATTCTATATCTCTCTATTCTCCCCTTCTTTATTCTAA